TGTTTGTAACTTGAAAAAAAATTTAATAGATTTGTTAATAGATTTGTTTTGATGTTTTTGTATTTTACAATCTTTAGTTTGTTTGTACTTTTAAAAAAATTAAAATATTAAATATAGACATACAGACATATAGTCAGTCATACAATCATACAATATGGTATATTAAGGAATCTCAACAACCTTACATGAACGAGTTTCGTAAAAAACTTGATAATGATAATCAAGTAGCATTTAACATTTTGTATTCCTTGCAATGTCACACGCTTTTTTTTTATATTAAATTTTAAAAATTAATTTATTTGTGTGTATAATTAAATATATAACTTTAACTAATTAATACAGATAAAAATAAAACTTTGTAAATATTAAATAAAAGAAAATTAATTTAAAATAATAATATTAAATATGATTTAAAAAATCTGGAAAACCGATTTGGACTCAATACATCTTGATAAAATTTTGATACAGCCTTGATAATTCGAAAATAATACACAGTTTTGAAGATTATGATTTCAGATAAAATTTTTATGATTTCATACTAAGTTCAGGCAGCCAAATTTCCTTAATTTCGTGAAAATGAAATTAAGTTAATTTCGAAAGTGGTCATCCTGCCCCGAATTAAGGAAATCATATCATTAAGAAACCATAAACACCATTTGTATGTGGTAAATTTTAAAAGTTAATTCTAGCTAGAAAGTATGGCATTTAATAGTTTTATTAGCTTTAGTGGATTCCAGGTATGTGAATTATTATTTTTCACTCTATTTTAAATTAATAACAGTTACAGCTTTTTCTCTACATTAAAATTTAAAAATTTACACTATTTTCAAATATTTTCCCGGCTTTATTAAAGTCAACTGTTACTGACATTTATTTAAAAAAAATGTCACATTTTCGTTATCTCAAGTTCATCTTTTGTTTAAAATTTATCTTACGCATAGTTGTCTAATGTCCTTTAATTTCAGCCTTCCTTAATTACGTTCTAACCTTAAAACTGAATTTTGTATGGAAAAAACAATTAAATTTCGCTGAAATGAAGATGAAATTAAGATTTTTGCGAAATTAAGGTGTGTCTGAACAAAGGATTAAACAAAAACCTTTATATTAGTAAGTTTGTTGGACTGAAACCAAAAAACAATTAAATATATGTGTCTTACGCTCGATTACGTCTTATCTTAACTGCTACTGCTCTAAGCGATTTTCTGTGTTCGAGCGAGATGCGTTCTTGTACAAGCATTATCAGACATCGTATTTCTTAAAACTACAAGTCCTCGAGATTTTAGCCTCAAATATAGTAGGTTGATTAATTCAGAACTCATCGAGATGATTGTATTAATATTGGCATTATTGAACTCATAAAGGAGGTCTTATTTTCTTTTTAGCTCCAGAGCCACAAGAGCCACATCACATAACATAGTCAACCACTTTCGAACCTAACAATATTAATTTAATATTTCCTAATACGTCTGTAACGCAGTGCTCTGTGTTATGTATATCGTCGAGATATGATTAACATGTCGTAACTATGATCATAAACATACTGATCCACACTAATCATAAAGTACTCACCTGTATTGGGTGTAATGATAATTGCAAACATATTGACCGTCTGAGGACTGATTTCCGTTTTTTTAAAAGTAATTATCCATGTTTTTTTTTTTGGGATGCAAGGGGCAGAAGTGCCTCAATGGGGGAGTGACGCGAATACACAGTCTAACGTCCTCAATAACCAACCTCACCTACTCGTGATGCATCCTGTTCTCGCATACGAGGCTCTGGCGATCGAGCACAGGCGGTATAACCTGGAAACACCTAGTAAAGGGGAAACTCTCTAGCTAACAAATACCAGTTTTATGCCGAGACTTGCAGGGGATCTGGTTTTTCAGATTGGGTGTTGATCACAAGGTCAGCAGCTACGTAAGCTTCTTTAAAAAAGTAGAAGGCCAAAATTCACACTGGACTGTAGTGCCAAATAAGAAGGAGTACTTCATGTTGTTTAAAACCTGTAAGTTAAATACAGTTTTTATAAATATCTTTTTTGAAGATATTCTATGAAAATATATTGAGTATATATTTTCGTTTAGCAAAAAATTTAGTTTGAACAAAAAATGACTTAATTCTCTTATCTTCTGCTTATCAGAACTGTATCTTTTACTAGCATGGAAAGAGTTTATTGTTAAAAGTCAATTATCTATCTTTTTGAAATACTTATTAAGTGTTTTTGTAACTGAATTCTTTCTGAAAGACTATTTGCTGAATACTTTTTTACTCCTTTTTGTGATATCAAACTGCCTGAGAGTTCAATGGACTTCGTGTTTATGAAATTTGCAATTTTTGTTAGTTAAAACTATTCTAAAAATTACGTATTCTAAATTTTAGGCACAAGTGGCACTTGAGTTCGGTGTCAATCAACTTGAATACGGCCAACCCTGAGATGTCTGCGTAAACAAATCCAATAAGCGAATTCCGTGCAGTTGGCGGCAATTATCCGGTTTGTCATTTATGTTGTCGAATTTAATTTGAAATAATAAAAATTTAATTAAATTCTTGTATTTTCATATTTTGATGCAAAGCATATAAAATATTGTATATTTTTCTATCCAGAATACGATCCAAAACTTATGTCAACACTACTTTAAGACCAGTAAATCATTAAGAACCACTTTATTGTTTATTTTGATGTTTATTAACATTTTCTCTTATTATATTTAACTAATTTTTAACGAGTATGTGAGCTGAAAATACTTCCGCTTTGACAAATTTACACAGGCAAAGTAACCGCAGAGGTCAACAAATTTTTATCAAGCTGAGCGGTTATCAAAACAGAGCGAACCTATGCGAACTTGTTGTAACAGATGTGAGTGAACCACCATTATCGTGCAAGCATCTTTCTTAATTATGCCAAAGTCCAGATGAGCATCTTCTACGTACGAATTCTTAGCAGATACTTTCATTTCTTGTTGGAAAGAAATGTTAATTTATTGTTAAAATGCAAATACACCACATATATTGCGATACTGCGATACTGCAGTAGGAACAAATATCTTCTCAGAATGCGAAAACAAAACGTTAACAAACGTTAACAAAATACGCGTAAAACAACGTAAATAAACAATCAAATTAAATTTTGCAAAATGAATTTACATGTTGCAGGAATTTTAAAATGATTTTATTTATTTTAGTTTTTAATGTTTAATTTTTTTAATTTTTTTTAATTTTTTATCAGTTCGTTAAAATTTATTTGGCAAGGTAAACCGGTACGGGAAGCTGCGCAGAAGCTGCGCATGCTCACTTTGCGATTATTCATCGTTTGAGTTGAAAAATATTTTGGAAGAGTTTTGCATTTCATTTCGTGTGTAGTGTTGTGTTTTGTAAGAAGTTGAAGATATCTTATATGAATAAAATTTAAATATTTTTTCTCGAAATTAACGTCGCACATTAAAATTAATTTTATGTGCAAAACATTTTGATTTGTCGCCAATTTTTGTGATTTTGTGATTTTGTGATTTTTTTCAATGTTCTTGGAACAATTTTAACGATTTGACGCAGAGGAGCAGGCGCCAGAAACTGGATTTCTTGAACTTTATGATAATTACTTTAATTAGGCTGTTTTATCATTTCATTTAAAATCATTTAAATACACGATTTTGCTACACGCTGCCAACTGGACGTATGAGTAATTTTATTCAATTAGTTGTGCTATTTTGACGACATTCGAATTAAAATATTACGTATAAAGAGATTTCATTTTAGTAGTATATTTCTGTATTATTTAGTAAACATATTAACACGTTTCTCTTGCTGACTCACGATTCTCATATTTGGGACTCACAATTAACTGAATTATTTTATATTTTTATGGCTATTATAAAAGTTACCAAAATGTAACCAATCAATGTTTATATTTAAATTATTTCAAGTTGCATATACTAAAGTAGGAGGACGTCAATTTCACTGTTTAAGAGAACAACTTCTGCACAAAGAACATTTCGAAATTATAATAATTTATTCTATTCGGTTCAACAGAATCTATTTATTATATTCATTAATAGTTTAAATGAAGTTCTGAGATTTTTGAACTAAGTCTGGCATTTAGATTTGAAATACATCTGACAAAAAAGAGCATAAAAAGATATACTAATTAGTTATATCAAGAAATGAAACAAAATCTACTATCACTTCGCTTAAACGCTAAGAAGCCCAAATATTACTAAGGTTTTACGTGGAACATTGCACGAGAAAGTTACACAAACAATAATTGAAACCATATACCTAACCCTACAGGATTAAAAGGATTTTGCGCCGAAAGTTGAAAGCGACTTATAGACAACTTATACCCAGTATAAGAGACTGCTCGAAATCGTTGACATTCAGCAATCCTTATAATTATTTATATGTTTGACTTATACATATGAAAGCATAAATTAAGCTTTATTACTATGTAATAGAGTAACTCAACAAAAAACAGAAATACTAAGCTAAAATTCCTGAAACCTCGTTAAGCAATGAAGATCACATATTCTACTCTACTTCTCTACTTCAAGTTCTATACTCTACTTTACTTTAAAACTTATTTAGACTAATATTCTTTTAGTGCCAGTTTTACTAATAAAAGTAACCTGGACAAGATCATTATGGTAAACTCTATCTATAAAGAATAAATGAAAAAGGATTGATATTATTAAATTTCAATACAAAGTACAATAACTTTGTATTGAAATTTACGATAGGATTCTATCGTCCTATCGTGCCCACCTCTAACACAGCTATTGCATCTATTTATTATTGAATGTACACAATATGCTAAGAAGGTGATACGAAGATTTCAGATAATGACATTATCTGCTTTAGAGGGCTGAAAATCCTTTGCTAGTATATATCATGAAATCA